TGCGTTGAACAGGGGAGTCAGACTCAATAGCCTTTTAGCCCCCTTTGAACTCCATTATTCTATGATTCTAGGATGTACACATAGTTTGAAAAAGGTTTTGGGGGGCTCTCAAATTATCTTGCAAAAAAGACACCCCCCTTGTTCGGGTTATTTAAATGGTTTATTTCCAGTACGAATGATCTCATCACCTATCAAATGTACTTTTTTGTCTGAAGCATTTTCTACAATGAGAATATTCAAAGTTTCTCAAATGGTATGTATTCACTGAGGCCTTGGGAATTGTGTTCTATAAGTTAAGCATTTTCTTCTAGCTACCATAGCCAAAGGTTGGGATAGTCTGTGAGCTGAAACACAGTTCTTTCAATCTGTGGTCATCCACTACACAGCTCTGGCTTTATAAATCACACCAAGATTCGTGTGGTCAAATTTTCACACAGGTGGAAGTAAATATTATCAGATTTACTTACACTGGAGGACCTGTAATGTCATACTTGCAGAAGGAAAAGAAGATTGCATGCAGGAGGTTCTTCAAAGAAAGAAAAATAAACCAGAAACGTGTAGCTGTGTGATCCACGTGTAGGGGCACAATTATATTTTGGGTTATTCTTGTTTGGTCTGGATCTCACTATTTATTTCTTTGTGGGCTGCGATGAGTAGTTGGGTTTTTAATTGCTGTTAGTTGCCCAGTGTAGTGCTTCAGCATTAGATGGGAGGGATACAAATGTAATGAATAAAATAAATAAAAAAGGATTTTTAAATTTAATTAAAATATTTATATCCCACCTTTCTGCCCAAAACTTCTATTGGAGTTAGGAATAAGGTGAACATTATATTTTGCATGAACTCCAAGCTCTGGTTTGAAGCAAAAATTCAGCACCTCTAGCATCCCACCATTGAGCTGCCCAGCCTTTGTCTAAAGACATCCAGAGCAGAGATAAGCATGAACCAATTTGTCCCAGTTCATTAAGGCAGCAGCACAGCTATTGCTGCTCCCCTCCCTCACCTCCACAGCCGATTCAGCCACTCACTATGCCCAGTTTGCTTGCTTTTTCTACCTCCTTGGCTGATCTCCCAGTCAGGAGCAGGAACACAGACTTCTCTGCTCCGCTTTGTCTAAAGACATCCAGAGCAGAGATAAGCATGAACCAATTTGTCCCAGTTCATTAAGGCAGCAGCACAGCTATTGCTGCTCCCCTCCCTCACCTCCACAGCCGATTCAGCCACTCACTATGCCCAGTTTGCTTGCTTTTTCTACCTCCTTGGCTGATCTCCCAGTCAGGAGCAGGAGCACAGACTTCTCTGCTCCGCCCTTTCGTTGAGTGGGAGATCAGCCAAGAGGACGTTGAGTGGGAGATCAGCAGAGAAGCCTTAACTGTTGCCGTAACTGGAAGATCAGTCGAGGAGTAGCAGGAAGCTAGGAAGCTGGGCCTGGTGAGTGGCTGGTTGAGCCAGAGGGAGGTGGTAACCTCAACCACCCGCACATTTTGCATCTCAGGGTTTACTTCCTTTCATGAAATAAAAGAAGAGGGTTACAGAGGGCTAGAAGGGGTAGGAGTAGAGCCAACATTGTTAGAGCTCAGTTAGGGATGGGTGAGATTTATGTTTGGTCATGAAAAACTGCCTCGAATTCTTTGCAAACCAAATGGAAAGAAATGAAGTTTTAAGAAGTTCCAGTGTGCAAGGTCATCGTCATCATCATCATCACAATTATCATCTAAGAACTGCAGGGCTAGAAGGGACTTATGGATCAGCAAGTGCAGCTTCCAACCAGGAGGCACAGTGGGGCATCAAACTCCTTGCCTCTGGCTCTGTAGCCAGATCTCTAAACCACTGAGCCATCCTGCAGTCATGAGGAAATCCAATGTTTTGTAGTGGATAGAGTGATAATCTGGGACTCAAGAGATCTGGGTTCAAATATCCGTTCACAGCCAGGAAACTCATTGGCGGAAGGGAGATAGGAATATTAAAGCCTTTTTTAAAACTATCATGGCTTTCTTGTGACTTTTCAATAACCCAGAAAAGTCACAATAAGGCCATGAGAAAGATCTTTGCCTCCAGGAAGAAAGCTTTGAGAGCTGGGACTTTTTTTTTTTCCCTTAGCAACTCCTCACCTGCTGATACAGCAGGCAGGATGAACATTAGTCTTTCCATACTAGGAAGTTCTTTACCAGTTGAAGATAAAGCATTTTATTTGCTTTAATAAAAAAAATAAAATAAAATTCCGCAGAACTTCACCAAATTGCGCAGATTTTTTAAAAAGTAAACTGGATGGGGGGAGAAAAATGAAGATCAAGACATTTTAAATGAAAGGAACGTGACCATCATCCCTCCACCAGATACAATGAGTTGCAGAAGGAGCAAAAAGCATAGTATATAAAAAATGGAGGGTTAGAAAATAATGACTCAGCAACTGTATTAAGAAACATTTTATTAACAAAACGGTAAATTCCACTTGCTTAGCATTTCCAATAATGGATAAATTGGCCTTGCAACAAATAAAAAAAAAATTGTAAATATCTATCACAGAAAGCACTATAAGGTTAAGGGCTTCTGACCTCTTTTTGTTTTCTGATATTTGGGAATGAATAATTTCACACGTTATTTTAGTGTATTGTTAAAAAAAAGGCAACACAATACAGTAATTAAAAAAAAGAATAACCCAGAGCCATCTCATCACAGCACAATCCTGTCCACATTTACTCAGAAGAAGACCCATCGACTTCAATGGGACTTACTCCCTGTTGTGAGCATAAGATTGCAGCTTTAGTCAAACAAATTAGATTGTTACAGAAATGGGATTAACGTATTGGTTATGTATTTTCAAATAAGAGAAAAAAAAGTGTTTTAATATAGCTACTGAAACATTTGATAAATGCAAACACTTCTTTTGTTCATCATTAAATCACAAAATCAACAAGGAGAACAAGAGTAATTCCCCAGAAATAGCTTCAGATTACCTTTGCTATAAATAACAATCCCACATCACATATTCCTTAAGAGTATTCGTGTTAATTACTTGGAAAGACAGTAACCCAAGTTAGAGAACAAAGTCAAATATGAAGACACAAAAGAACCTGGCCATTCTCTTAAGACTGTCATCCGTGGAGAATGCCGAAGGTTCAAAACCTTCTCCCTTTTATGTTAACATGGTGGAAATTCCTTTCTCATTGTTGTCTTATTTTAGTTTGGGCACCAAAGCTAGATTTCCTTCATTCACTGTCCTTCATTCACTATCCTTCACTCAGCAATGGTAACTTACAATGGGGGGGTATATGAAGGGAAAATGGGGCAATTTTTGTAGCTTATCTTCAATGCTACATAACCTTCGGATATTCACAAGCATCACCCTTCCCTCCTCCAAAGCCCTCGGTGCACGCAACCTGTTCACGTGTGTTCGTTGGCAACTCTCAAGGGTGACAATGCCAAGATATTTTAAATGCAGGATCCTGGAGCGTTGTTCTGTTGAAGACTACAGGTTCGGCTGATTCCCAATGCTTGGCAGTGAAAAATACACAAGACAGCTGTGTGGCCTGCTAGTTACAGCTGATCTTAAAACTCATTCTTTCCATCTTTAAGGTGTGCATAGCAACAAGCATTCCAATATCTGGTTGCTTCTTTACTGAGCTACCTTCTTTTGGCGTAATGTTGTCTTCTTTGTATCCTTCTTACTAAGTGAGATGTTTCACAATGACCTATTGTTGGGATTCAAAGGGAATCACCTTTATTTTTTTAAAAAACTTTGCAAGTTTATAACATAATCGCATAGTTAAACCATAACGCAGTTGACGTTTAAGCATGTGTTTATGAAGAGAAATGTAAATAATGTTTTTCACCAAACCAATGGACCAACTTAGTTTAGAAGAAATGTCATGTATGCCTAGAGGAATGAGGGGATAATTTTTTAAAAAAGATGAATGAGAGAAGACTATTTCTGCACATGATTACAGTATGTAAACTGGAATCTTGTTTTACATGCAATTTATGCTTCTAACATTTTGTGTCATGTAATTCTTCTTTGGTGAGAAAAATGGTGCAGATTAAACGGCAAATTTCTTAATTTCCTTACCACCATTCTTTTATCAGCCAAACTGTAACAATCATAAAGTTTTGGATAAAGTATTTCTTGGAATTTGACCTTTCTTTTAGTTTATGGGACCAACTGCACTGGTGAAGGATGTAATCTGAATTGGAGTACACTAATACTTTAAATCATCAGTTTTACATCAAGGGGAGGGGGAGAAATGGTGTGATTTTGTTTGGTTTTGCTGATATCTCCTGGGAGTGGATGGGCAATTGAAAAAAGAAAATCAAGAAGTTTATATCTATATATATTTGCTTTCTAAGTCCACTTCTTTCATACAAACTACTGAAAACTGAACTGCAAAAGAAGATAAGAGAGGCTGTACAGGTTAAGAAGAAAATTAGCTGACTCTTATATACATTCATACACATCCCTCTTAGTAGATTCACTAAACTGTAAATAAAAAAACTTAAATTTAAAAGGAAGAAGAAGAAGAAAGAACCAGGTGGGGAAGAAAAACAGTGGCAGTTTCTTATGGCTGCAAAAATAAACAGAATTGTCGGTTGCTCCAGATGTTGTAAAACTTTCTATACCTAGCAACACTTAGAACATTGAGTTTTACCAAAAATGGTTGAAGAGCAGATATAGTTTGCATTGTCTATACAACAGGCTAGAAAACATCACTTATCACAGTCCAGAAAGCACATATAGATGTGTTTTTTTTTTAATATAAACATATGTAATAACATATTAAGCGTGCATGAACTTCCCCCCCAAATGATTGCATCTTTGCCCTCAGGTTTGTTGATTAGTGGTGTGTGAAAATAAGCCTTATATTTCACTTTTTTTGTCTGTTTATTGTTACTGGGTTTTGTTTTTTGATTTTTTTGAAAATAAGGCCGCTATACTGTTTTCCTCACAACCAGAAAGGGGCTATTTCTGTGTTGTCTTCTATTACTTCTTTTTCTTTTTCTTCTTCTTCTTCTTCTTCTTCTTCTAAAGGAATGGTTTTTATTCAGAAAAGCCAGCACTTTACTTTAAACCCAAGCTCCAATCCTTGTTTCACTGTGCTGGGCAGCAAACGGGGTCTCGAGGTTCACTTGTTGAGCGCTTGTGTAGAACCGTAAAGTCCTCTAAGGGAATCAAACGGACTTTACTCCTCTGGAAAGCACGAGCATTTTGGCTAAATCCAGACACGTAGGTAGCTTCTGTATGTGTGTGTGCGTGTGTGTGTACTAGAGAGAGACAGAGAGATAGAGAGATTTAATTTCATTTGTTTGTTTCAGTTTGTTACTTTTTTTTCCCTCGTAGTGCTGGGTGATGTTTTTGGTAGTAATACTCTTTTCCATACACGGGTGCAGTAGTTACCAACATCATCTTCAGGAACATTCCAGCAACATAAAGATGGTAGAGTAAATGAAAACACTGTGGATGTAAGGGGATTTATTGACTCTGGTTTCGGCACACCTAGAGTATGAAATGCTTACTTCCTTTTTTTCCCTTTCCTTTGTTTTTTTATTTATTTAAAAAAAGTCTTTCCTTTCTGATTGCATTCCCTGTGTCCTTTTTTCCCATTTTTTTAAACATTGTATGTGCTTCATAAAAAGTAAAGTAAATAAGTTTCGTTTTATGTCTCAGATAAAATGAAGACTATTTCTATACAATTGTTCTTTTGCAGCGGTTGGGATCAGACGTAGTACTCCTTATCCTTGTTTTTCTTGTTTTTATTAGAGCTTTTAGAGCTGTTGGGTTGCTTTTCCTTAATCACAGCCCCGTTGGACTGTGCTGAGTTACTGATGTAGTTTCGACTCTCGTCAACATGATAGGAGCCTTCATCCCGGTTTCGGTACTTGTACATGGCGTAGAGGAGGATGAGGATGCACAATGCAGCTGCAGCCACAATCCCAACCACCATGCCAGTTGTGCTGCTGGATTCCCGAACCACCTCATCTGAACTTGGGTAGCCTCCCCGGCCAGGCTTGGTGGGACTTGCTGTAAGGAGATGATAAAAAAATGCATTTAGTGCAAAGTAGGATGGGTACCACCTTTGCTGTGCATTGTCAAATCACACCATGACTGTGTCTGTATCACACAGTGACAGGAGTATGATACCACTTTAACTGTTTATGGCTCCATCCTGCACTATCCTGGAATTGGTAGTTTGATGATGTACTTAAGAATTCAGCCAGTAACTAGCTCAGGAAGTGGTGAGTGCTCAAATGGTGGAAATTGAGTACCATCTGTCAGATCTGCTTTGATTTGGATTCCTGCATTGAGCAAAGGGTTGGATTTGATGGCCTTACAGGCACCTTCCAACTCCATTATTCCATGATTCTTATATACACTCTTGAATTGCCTGATCAAATTACAAATCTGAATATTCCTTAGGATGGAACCACTGGCTGAAATTCTGTTGTGCTGTTACACAGACAGTGTAGCTTTTAGTCTTGTATTACCGTGAGTTAAGAACTCTCCATAGGCATTATCCATTGCATGTTAAGTTGTGCAACACAATATACAACAGATGTCTACAGAGACTTCTTAACATGATGCCTATGGTATCATAGGCTTCCAAAAGCTGCATTGTTCGCATAACTGCACAACAGGATTGTATCAGACAAATGGTATCAGACTGCTGCAACTGTGTTGTGTCAGAACTCTGTTGAAAGATCAGCAGACTAGCAAAAGATACCAACCAACCAACCAACCAACCAACCAACCAACCAACCAACCAACCAACCAACCAACCAGTGAACAGCACTTCCCACTAAAGTAAGTGCAAGCTGCTTTTTCAGGTGAACCACACCTTCATTTTTAGGCTAGATGAAAGTGTATTTATCTCCTGCAAAAGCATGGAATAAGCAAGATACTGGCCACATACATGGCTTTCTGTGCAAATGTGCATTTCTATTCTGTACATCCCAGGCACTGTGTTTCTAGGTGTGTGCGGACAGATGAAGGACTAGTAAAGCCTGAAGGCATCTGGACCAAAGAATGAGTGAAGAAGACCCTGTATAAGCACCCCCTCACTCATTGAAGATTTGACTGCTGCATTACAATTTTTAAGCAACAAATATATAATATTCCAGCAAAAGTCCCAAAACAATGTTGAAGCTATGTACATATAGATACTTATTGACATGGGAGGCAGATGCAAAAAGGCAACAAAAGGCTGCAGTTTACACCATGCAGAAATACTGAGATCAGCTCAGTCCAGAGGCCTTTTCTAAAATTCCTTAAGGTTGACAAGCTGGTCTTAAATGTTGGTTCTTTCGAAAGATCAGTGAAAGGCCCCAGAAAAATCCCACAAAGCTCACTAGAAAACGTTTGTCTTTCCCACAATGCTGAAGCTGAGCAGAATGTGCCATATTTTTTTCCCTTGAAAGCTCTCTTAAAGAAATCAACAAATGTGTGATATATCTCAGAGAAATATTAAGATCACATTCAATATTTATGCATGTGCTTTTTTTGGTGGGTTTTGGTTGCATTTCCATTTTCCACTTCTCAGCCAAGCTGTATAATGAATACAATATGCAAACCTAGTACAATTAAACTTAATGATGCATAACGTTTGTGCGTCTCATAACAACCTAGAAAAGAAACCAAAACAACCTTTCCCTCCCCCACAAAAACAATATAAGATCAAATGGAAACATCAGAGAGAACATTCTATAAAAGTTTTGATCCCTGCACTATTCTAAAACACATAACCCATTAATGACTATTTTCAGCAAATGTTATGGTAAAATCATCTCATTAGTGACAGCTATCCATCAACTCAGGGGAACGTCTCTCTTAAGAATTCAGACTCATTCATTCAGTCAAGAATCAAAATGGTCAAGAATCAAAATGACTGCACAAACAATCAATAGAACAGAACAGAACAACAGAACAAAATAAAAAGAAAAAGTCTTTCTTTGTGAAACAATGCTGGCAATCAATAGAACAGAACAGAACAACAGAATAGAATAAAAAGAAAAGAAAGTCTTTCTTTGTGAAACAATGCTGATATTGGTAATCATAAAAATGTGTTTGTTGCAATTATTGTAAGTTCACACGCTATTCTTGTGAAGTACTATATGCATTGTAAGTATTGTAAATTCTTTGTTCTACTACTTAAATTGTATGGCCAAAGGGATATATTTATAGATATTCATAAGGTATGTGTTCTACGTTAATACAGAATATATAATTGCAAGTTATTTTCTTGATTGCCAAGCACATTCCTACGGAAGGAGGTGAAGGAGAAGCCAAACACATTTTCAGTGGCATCTTTTAACATTATTAAGTGGAGAATTGCAAATTTGGTCAATGTGAAGAATAAAATACTGTAATTCATATGTTCTTTGCTGTTCTTATGCAAATTTGCATATCAATACCTCGCACCATCAAGTGCGGATGATGGCAGAAGGAGATGTAGTTGCATCTAGAAAAAAGGGTGAAAAATTGTGCTCTGTGCAAGATTTTCTTCTTTGGTGCAACTTCCTTGTAAACCAGGTATGTACAAAGTGTGGCCCTCCAAACATTGCTGGCCCTAGTCCATGGTGAGGAATGCTGGGAGTTGAACCCTAGCCAACATCTGGAGGGCTTCATTTTACCCACTCCTGGTCTATGTTAAGCAGAGGCCTAGGTTAACATTCTGCCCCTTAGAAGCTCAGGAACAGATGTGGGAAGAAATGTTCCCCATTCTTTATTTTTACTGCACTAATCTTGTAATGACATTTGTGAATAATCTGCATGTTTCACAGTGTAGTGCAGACTGAGCCTTTGAAACTCAACATAAGGTATGATTCAAGCCATTTACCTCATGTCTGACTGACTGCTATTGTATCAACTATGACACCCACTCCTGGTTGCTTTCCACAAATTTGGGAAAGTGGGAACTCTACCCCCCTGTAGAAAAAGTAACTATCAGAAGTCGTAAAGACATTCTGAGAATTGTGAGGAACACAACTGCATGACACTGAGGCTGACTCATAAAATGGTGCTTCAGTTTTTATGAGAGGGTGAAAACACTGCTGGTCTTTGGTGAATGTGAAGTGGAGAATTACTACAAATATCCTGTGAATGGAGGTCTGGCTATTAGATTCATTATCTCCTCTCACCAGAGGCTTGCAAAGGTATGCTCACTATTGTTAGAACTTAGGGCCTAGGTATAAGGTAAAGGTAAAGGTTCTCTTTGACATTTAGTCCAGTCATGTCCGACTCTAGGGGGCAGTGCTTATCGCCATTTCCAAGCCTTAGAGCCAGCATTTGTCCATAGACAATTTCCATGGTCATGTGGCCAGTGCAACTAGACACGGAATGCTGTTACCTTCCCACTGAGGTGGTACCTATTTATCTACTCGCATTTGCATGCTTTCGAACTGCTAGGTTGACAGGAGCTGGGACAAGTGACTGGAGCTCACTCTGTCATGTGGATTTGATCTTATGACAGCTGGTCTTCTGACCTTGCAGCACAGAGGCTTCTGCGGTTTAACCCGCAGCGCTACCATGTCCCCCTAGGGCCAAGGTATACTCTTCCTCAAAACCGATTTTAAGCTTTGGCAGGAAGCAAACTGCAGGACTTCCATTTTTTAAGCAGAACAAGTGGGAAGAACATCACATGCATTAGAAATACCAGGAATTACAGTGGAATGAATTCTGATACTACTTCCAAGAAGGGCAGTCAAATCACGTAATTGCTTCCTATTTCTTAACCCTGTAAGAAAAAATGTTTCCACGCTCAAGTCCCCGGGGGAGACCTAGGAAAATTGCCTGTGCCATCATGTTTCCCCTTCATTAGTTCTCAAGGAGGCTAATAAAATTGCAGTGCAGATTATTTTCTTGGGCTTTCCTGCTCCTCTTAGTTGTGAGGAAGGAGTCTTTAGAAATGGGCATTATTGAAACAGGGAGTCTTTGGGTGACTGCCTCCTTCTCTTCCCCATTCCTCTTCCCTGATGTTGCAGTGGTGTCTCTATCCCTTTCGTTCTCCTTCGTATCACTAAACCTATGGTGAAGTGAGGACACAGATGGGCTGCTGCTGACACGACTTCTGCCCCTCTATGAGGATGAAGGATGCACAGATCCCATGTAGATGAAATGGTTATAGTATGTAGTTGTGATGTGAATCTGAATGTTATGATGTGTGCATGTGTGTGTAACAGCACAGGATGTTTGCTGACTCTACATAGAGATTCCTGACACTTTGTATGTGGGAGGGGGTGGCACTTCACATCCTGCTTCAGGCATTAGGAGAATTTGGGCCACCCTAGCACACCCACTGTTTTTACTCCCTTCTCCATCTCCTCTCTCAGAATCTCACTTTGAAGTCACATGGCAGACCGGTTCCTTGGTCCAAATCATGACGCCAGCCTCCAGAGTCCAAAGGGAGAGATGGTCTTAACTCTGCTCTGACACTCACCAAGATGGTGATCATAATTTTTTATTTTATTTATTTATTCGATTTTTACTCCGCCCCTCTAGACGTCTACAATAACTTACAGTTTACTTGCTCAGCTCCTCCTCCTGCTTCCTTCTCCTGCTTTTTTATCCCCCTTCATAACTGAAAGGTCCCTTCCTTCCCAGCCTGCACCAAAATGATATGAACTAGCTGAAGACGGGCAAAACTACTAATCCACTACATTTCTGTGCTGAATATCAGAATGCTACTGGCCAGCGTTACCAGAGCGATGCAGGAGACATTGAGAAATACACACAGAATGTATCAAAGAGGCCACGGTGATGGTGGTGGGGAAATGCATTAAAGAGACCCACAGACCACTTATCATCTTGGTGGGGTCTATTCATATTTCTGCGCTTCAGATTCAGAACTTAGTCAGAAAACAAACTTTATCAAAGATGGCCACAACAGATGTCTTTGGTTGCAGCAACCCGGCAAATATTTCACTTTAACACAAACCTTTAGATTTGTGCTTTGCTATTGTCTTGCCCTGCCTGAAGGCTACAAGGTTTTCCCTCAGGTTTTCTTTCCTCAACACCATAAGGCTGTA